ATTACCGATATATTAGTGCCAGAAGTGTGGAACATCGGAATGTGTGATCAAAATTGTAGTCTCGTATCCGGCGCGAGAGCGGGCGATCATCGATAAATGTCAATAAAGTCTAAATTAGTATGGAGTGCCGCCATCATTAGTCAAGTCAGTCGGGATATAATTCAGTGTCGAACTCTACCAGTTTACGACGACCAACACATAATAAGAGCACGGACGCCCCCGAAAATAACAAAATTAAAATAAATCGAACTACAGACAAACGTCATAAACTAATTTCGAGTGTTTTCGTTTTGGTGTGTACAAAAATAGCTTCGTCACTCTTTCATGTCTCGCCGTGAAGTGACATTAAACTATAATTTACAGTTGGATTTTAGTACAGCGCCATCTATGCCCACGGAGATGAAAGTAACGTTTTTACTGCCTAAAAAGAAAGGTGTTTATGATTTATGTAGAACTATTATTGCTTTCTGAAATTAAATAGTAGCGTCGTATAAATGTGTACGTAGCTATTGTGATGTTTACCCAGTTTTGATGTCAGGTGTCTGTATACGTTTAATGACAGGTGCCTGTACGCACGAGATTTAAAAAGATTCGTTTCTAAAACAAGTTTTATTACAAAAGGGCGCTATCTGTCGGCGTAATTATGTTACTAACTGCTTGTTTATGATACAATAACTTTATGTATAAGTATAAAGATTCTGTTGATTTAATTGTTTAAGAAAAACAAGCTGAGATCTTGTTATCTTTTGTCGCAATGTGTAACTGTCAACAGTGTAAAACCCTTGATACTTATGTTGCCAATGAGTAATACATTTATTCTAGTGGACAAAGCCTACAATTCTTTTAAACATATCTATTTATAAATTACACTGTACATCATTATCTACATATTTATTCGCGTTCGTACTCAGATCTTTAAGTACCTACTAAAAGCAAAATTATCAATGATTTCAGTAACACAAAAATGTAGACGATTTACAAAAAAGAATCATCATCGCCTGTCATTTATCTCAATACGACGATGACACGTTAAATCTTATTTCGTTAATTCTAACAAGGCAATTGATAGAAATGGTCACAGAGTTGAACTAACTGATGTTGATGATGGTCATGAAGGTCCATTAGAGACACAATGTTATGAGAACGATGGAAGTGGAGATTGATTTCTAAACACTAAAGATAATAGTTTACATGAACAGGTCAATGTTTTAAAAGACACTGTTGCACAAAGAAGAAAAATTTACCAGGAAGGAGGAAGCCCAGGTTACCCCTGCACCCCTTTTACAATAAAAGCGTAAAAATCTAAATAACCACAAAAGAGTAAATAAGGTTGACCAAGACAATGGGCCGGTAGGCATGTATTCTTTGATACTTTTTGATTGTTTGACAAATTTCGAGGAAAGGAAACAATTTTTCAGTGGATAGAGCCACAATTCCAAACTTATTAACCTTATCGAAGGGTCAAAAGTTTTCCCTTCGCAGATTTTTTTGCAAAGATTTTAATTAAGTTGGTGAAAGGGTGACGCTATGTTATTCCTTTTTGATGACATTCCGATAATAGGACCTCTTTTTCGTTTGATAACTTTGCTTTGAATTTGATTGGCTGAGATTTTTCTTTAAGAAACCTTTGAAATGTTATTGATTGGTCCCTCGCTCCCATTTTTAAACTTGAAGAAATATTTGCTTAAAATTTCCCAAGACAATTCAGTACGGTACAGCTAAGTAGAACGTAAGTTTTCTTTTAATCTCAAAACTACGATAGAAAATTAAAAAGTGAACAAGTGAAATAAATTCAGGAGACACCGCTGAAGCTCACAGAACACATCGATATTTCGCAACGCCATACGAATTAGCATAAAAAGCGGCGTACTATCAAAAGTTGTTCGTTCGGTACCTTTATCGGATTGTTTATGGCTAGTTTGCACATGGAACTATTGCTGTGGATTGTTTGCATTGCGCCGTCATAGTACTTTGTGACTGCACTGGCAGGAGTTCGCGCAGCGTTGTACGGTAATTCGTCTTTAAGATAGTGCTTGTAAAGGCATTCCTCCGCACAAAGGCGTTCGTTACGGCAAATAACAGCTTTTATATCGCGAACTCATTGAGTTTCGACACTGTGCAAGTATTCTGGAGGGCTGCGTTCTTCAACACCGTTCACGTTATCGTGTTCTACAGTTTTTTGTCTTTTTGTCACTTCGATGGCTTTTGTATTTAATTTATTCTAACATGCTCAATCCTTATTTCTTTTGCTGGGGTACACCTAAAATAATATCCTTTTCTGAAATCTCATTTTCATTAGCTTCGGACTTAAAGGCTAAAACTCCAATAAACCCATACGTACTTGTAATTACATAGAGCTATTGAATCCCCAACAAAGAGATGAAAATTCGTTTCAAATCCGCGTTTTCGCTTGCTTTAAATTCGGTGATTCAATGGACTAATGATTCTGAAGCATGAATGGGTGCATTCTGAAAGGCTCGCTTGCAACTAGGCTTCTTTGAAATTCGGCCGCATTGGCGATGAGTACCTCTTCAAATGGATGGGGGTCTGTTTTTGACTCATGAATTGTTTGTGTAGTTTCTTTCATGTAAATGTTGTGTTTGTTTTGTTACTGTGTGCTGTGTGGAGTCTTCTATGTATGTGCTTACTATAGTCATACATACTTTTAGGAAATTTACTTTATATTTTATCTCATGAGAAAGTGTAGAACAAATTAGAATCAGATGAACTTTCGATGTTAGTGCAAAAGAACAGCTATGAATAATATCTGAGACATAGTAGTTTCTACACACGTAGTATCGTCAGGTCGGTATCTTGTCATCAGCAGACATTGTAATCTGTATCTCAGCATGCGAAGGTGCGTGACAGTTATAACTGCAACCTTCGCACAACCGTACACACATACATGATATTATGCTGTGTATTTGAGTTTTCCATGCTTATTATAATACATAGATTTATTATTATGTGTAAGCACGATTGAAAAGTATTAACTAGCTCGTCAAAATTGCAGAAGAAATCATCTCGTACGGTATTAACTCTTTCATCTTCTCTATAGATAATGATTGTTAAAGTCTTATCATCAGACTCTTGACATTTAAACTCGATAGTCAATCGTTTGTCCCCTAGCTTCGTAACTTCCACATGACTTATGCGATCGAGGTCACCCGGTCAACTGGATAGACATTATGAGTAAAGGATGCAGCACAAACGCAGCTCATCTTGTATCGAATGTAACGTACGATCAATAAATCAATTACGTGCGCGGGGGCAATGCTGAATTGGGTTTGACAGTCGGTTAGAACTAGGGATGTGTTGCGCGATCTGTAGGTGGGATTTTATCGATATTATTTTAATGTGGTAGGGCGATAAAATTATGTTTTGTATGAGTAGTTATGTTGGTTGATAATTAGTAAACAGTAATGTGTAATATTGATTACGAAAATGTAAGTATTGTGTATCAGTAACAATTGAAATGACTTTGTACAACAATTACAATGAAGGTTTTTATAATAATCTAAACGATAAGATCATCTGGTAAATCGTTAATGAATATAAATGCAAAGGATATTAAGAAATAAAATATACAATAAAAGCTGAAATAATTACTAATTACTTATAAACTGAAATAATAAATGAAGTAAATGCAAAGAACAATCTATGCACTTTTTATTTGTATCGATATCAATAACTATGGACTATCGATAAATGATCGGATTGCACATCCCTAGGCAAAGGAAACAGGATACGTTCAATGGGATGATTGATCGGTACCGAACGAACGTAATCCTTGCACTAAATAAATATCACCGTTTATGAGCCACGCTGTAAGACACGCGACACCACTCTTATTTATAGGACACAGGCTAATTGGAATACTATGTCTACACACTACTAGAGGGTATACAATTACTAGTGAACGAGACGAAACAGAAACATTTGCACGTACTTCGATAAAAAAACTAAATATTTTGAATCGACAGCGCTGATTAAAAAAAACTTGAAAAAGAAACCTACCCTACATACGCAAAACGATAATCTTCTTACAAGATTTTTTTCAGAATAGGCCGGAAATCCCAGAATTAGATCTAAATCTACCATTGAACGAATGCCACGGAGCTATAGTTATCTAATACGACATTATCTTTTCAGTCTTAATTGGCATTGGCAAGCGATCACAGCGCGCTGCTAATTTCAATTAGTGTTGTGCCAACACCGATGTCGAAATGTCGACAAGACATGATAAGTTTTTTCCGCACCTCTTAAGAGTGAACACTTGTTTTGCGTGATGCTACTTCTAAATTGAGTTTCCATGTTAGACACGTGAATGTGTTCGCAATTTTTAGTGAAATCGATTTTATTTTTACACTTTACTGGCCCACTTCTGTTTCCTAACTGCTTTATTGTTGTGCAACTTAAAACAAGCTTCTTTAAAAGCTTTTTACAACAAAGTTTCACTCTAAAAAGTTTCGTGCCTAGTCAGGATGCCCTCACGTTTATTGACCAACTCTCACGTGAACAGTAGACATAAATTGCAGTACATTACGAGTCTTAACGGACCCGTATTTTGATATTTTCCTGAGTCACTCAATTCCCAAAATGTACACAATCACCTATTCATTTAAGAGTCGATAACAAATGTTGGCCGCCCACCAATCGATCAATCAATATTATCGATACAGTCAATTAACGCAAGTCGGCTGGGCGCAACTCTAATTGAGAGCAATAGAGCGGTGATGCAGCGTTTGAGTCAATCGCTTGTGTTGTCATAACTGGTAGATGGCCGCCCACATGCTCCTATGATCGTGGATAATGGCAGTGATATATGGACAGATTCATGTACATTAGTAGGACATGCTATGTACGTGTGTACTACATAGGTATGTGACGTGATTTGATTACAATTTACAGATACGTTGACAGGTTAGTGGTTTGATACACCTGCCGAGTTTTTCTTAGCTTCTTATATTTTGAAGTAGCTAAAACAGTTAGAAGCTTACCTCTTTCTCCTTAGCAGCAAGTTCTACCTCCAGATTCCCTGGCTGGTGGACCACGGGACTACTCCTGGAGGAGTTGCTGTTACTTCTCCCAGTGGCTGCCATCTCCATCTTCTGTTCTACGTCGTCATCAACGTCTTGCTTCTCTTCTTTGATGTCAGGACTGAACCTGTCGATCCTTGTCTCCGTAGCTTGATCCCTGGTGGGTTCTATGTGGGAGCCATTGGTTTTAGGGACTGTGGCCTGGAGAGGGGTCGGGCTTGTGGTGGCCAGTTGTTCTTTCAACGTGGTCACTTCTTTCTCGGCCAGTGTGGCTCGCTGAAACAAAGGAAAAATAATTGTTAATATACATAAACTGGACCAGTTAGGTCTACAAAACAATTCGACGTTCCATCAATATCCTCAATTAAAACCACAACAATAACATTCTAGAGGAAGTAAATTTTTCACAAGCGCAAATGAATTAATCTAATCTAATTACCAGTTCCCATAGTGACGTACTTCCGGTAACATCATCATGGAGGCTATCAGCGATCGCCGGAAGTACGCAGCTATTGGCGGTTAGATCGGTGAAATAATGAAAAGGTGCTCGATGCATTGTTTATAATAAAAGGTCATCAATGTATTGTTGAAACAAATCATTTGATGTGTATTTGTTACAATAATTATTCATTTTGATGTCACATGTCGTATTACCAGGAGGTAATACGACATAATGTGATACAAACATCACTCCATGAAGGAATCATATCCACTCTAAATATGAAACAAAAAATGTAATCACAAAATATCTATTTTCGAAATTACGAAAACTGAAATAATGAGTCATTAGCTAAAGAAAGCTAAAGTATAAAACTGAGTGAACACACGCGTGACTGCACGGCCCCTGCACAGATGTTATCAGTGTGATGATATGGACGCAGATTAGAAGGGTGCTGCCAGACCAAAGGCGGTTGGCGTCGCGGTTTTTGGACAGTCGGCCACACCTAACCGAAACGATGACTGTATTAAGCAAAAAGATGCCATTAAAAAACGAAAGAAAGAATGGAGATAATTCTGAGTATGCTGAAATAATTAAAAGTTACAATACTCCAATCTTTAAAAGACGAAGGGTTAGTAGCAGATGAAAATCTAGATAGGGAAGGTAATAAAATTTTCTATTTAATAGTACTATCCACGATAGCGTTAACGCAGCGTTAAAATCTCATCTGAAATGTCTGACAATCACGCACTAGCATTTACGCATTGAACGCAAGTTTCTGATGAAACCAAAGATCACTGGATTATACTCCATACCTGTCTAATTATATCAACCAGTAAACTTTCTTCAGTATCATATTAATCTTCACTTGTATCAAGACAATGTGTGCTCTCTTTATCTTTCTTAATTCATTTATTAGTACGAACTATGTTGCTTCAGATATTTGGAGGTTTTACCGCCAATTTAGTGCTATTTTTGGTTAAGATATATGGTAATTTGTATCACTTATGGAATATTCCCAATGTCACTCATGAGATGCCTATCGCTAGCAACAGTTGGATTGAACATAGTTAGATGTGATAGTGAACATAAACAGGAGATGCTAATGACGTCCTAACTGGAACATGGCACGCCGTCTCAAAACGATGAGGATTCCAGGAAAGTGTTCCAATACGGCGATAGGTAAATATTATTACGTGCCTCCAAGTCTTAATGTTTTGCTACAGAATTAGTTATTGCTTTAAATATTATGTTAAAACCTACAGATATTATGGTAATACGTGTAGATTCCTGGGATCATACTGATATTTCAACAAATAAATCCCAGATTTAGTAATCACTCATACGGACTTGAGAAATTAAATCTAGAATCAACTTGAATGATATATTACGAGAATACATTTAAAACACTTGCTATATTATTATATCAGGCTTTCTCAGAGCGTTATTAGTGTCTAATAATATTTTTGATAGTTTCAGATTTGTTGGTAACCGAATATCCGATAATTCCTATCACCTAGCACCAAATTGACGGTGTCCCGATTACGTAACGTACGCTCAATTGAACAAGATTGATCACTCAGCCTCGTTGACTGACTCAGTGCAGTGTTTTAAGAATAAATGCCCTTGGAGACTGTCGTCATCGAGACCTTAGCGTGATAACATTGTGGGTAGTAGAGGTAGGGAAGAAGGAAATGGTAAAGCAAAATATACAAAGGGAAAAGTCAGTAGAACTTGATTGAGTCTCTTATCGCATACGATATCTACACGTGCCTATTCTCTAGTTAGAAATACGAGTCCCAAAACATAGTTGCAAGTGTAATGTATATTTATCGTGTCATCTCCGTGCAGCCAGCCATGAAGCCGACCATTACAAGTTATCTGTACAGAATATAGAAAACCGCCATCGTAAAGTGCGTAATTCAAATTAAACTTTAAACAGAGACGATGTACTTCGACCGAATAATTTTATGTTTTACAACTAGAAAGTCGAAATATACGAAAGTATGAAAGTAGTCATTAAGAGGGAAGTGGCACATTCAATTAAAATAGAAGAAGAATTATCAGCATTGTGTGAACAGTAATGAGAATGTAATAATTCCGAATAATTAAAACAAGTCGATGTCGTCAAAAATGTTTTTATAATAGCCCAAAAGACATTTTAGATGCGTATAATGTGAGAAAGTAGATTTTTTTCGATTGTGTGGACAAGAAAGGTGAGTCGCACTCGACATTGATGAATTATAAGCTTTGAACATGAAAGAGATGGGAAACTTTGATGGCTGTGGAACTGGGCCGGATTGACGCGACGAATTATAGATATCATTGTTCCAAATATATTTTGTGCGAAATCGTGAAACAAGTTTGTGGTTCCTCTAATGTCGGGTGCGAGGTCATTTTGTTTGATGTATTCTTTTCAATTACCGGTAAAGAAAATGTAGTAGATAGAAATTTGCATATTGGTTCTGAACAAAGAGTAATTAATTGTGAAGATTAAATCCTAGCGTATAGTTGTCTACCCGAACTTACATTACCAGAGATAGCCATCAATGACGATCCGTTATTCAAAAAGAACCTGGCTGGAGTGCACGGTTCTAAACCAACAATTAAAGCGATGGCAACAAACCAACAAAGAGTACTTATCTATCCGAGTCATCTGATTCTAAATTTTAGTATGTTTGTGCAATAGATTAAGTCGGTGTAATTTTAGTAATTGAACTCTCACGATTAACAATTACAGTTACCGGTGGTATGCTTAATGATTCAATGAGTTATTGCGCTCTTAGATTTGGTATAACGTGCTCCAATCAGATCTTGTTGATCAACGTGTTTAATTGCTGGAAATTCTGGCTGCGGGTTACTCATCGTGGTACCGTTTGTTTTAACTATTTTCTGAACACTTCATTACCAAATCTTTTCGATTTACATTTGTTATTTCGTCATTCTCGCTCTTGGATTTATTAAACAAAAGCCGTTTTACTTTGTTTGTACTTTGAGATTGTTTTCGTCAAAACAATAAAATCAATCAAAGTTATTCAGTTGGACGATGCTGTAACTCATCAATAAAATCGAGAGGCCACAATTTTGTATTGAAAACTCTTTTGTCTCGATACTCTTTTATTTGATTCAAATTCTCGATTTGTTTATGATTTGAATTGATTCGCGAAGTGGTTACGATCGTGCTTGTTTATTTATTGTGACGTATAGTTGCGCTGGTGAGGTGAGGGTCGCGAATTTTCCTCCCCTTTGCAGAAGTTTAGCAATGTTTATGAGGTTTGAATTTTTTCACCAACTAAATACAAGGAAAAACGTCGAGACGTAACAATCACGAAAAGGTATAAAAGAAAAAGTAATCTTATTTACCAGTGACCAAAACTCACACTACTAACGATCACGTATCCCCGTAGATATTATTATACTTAGTCGGAAACGATTTAATAATGAAGAGAGATGACATAAATCTTAGTGACTCACCGTCCCCCCACGTGGATATCAAACTAATAATCGAAACCCAAAAATACATAAGAAAACATTATTAACATCTCAACGACATTGTCACTGTCATATTTATAATTTAAAATTGAGAATTTTGTTGCAATATTATTAAAACTCGGAGAGCGATGTTATATTGGCACAGTTCTGAGACTATGAGTCAAAGCACACACGACTGTAACGACATCGGCATTTCGTGTATCCTAATGACTGATAATGACTACAAAAGAAAAGAAATAATGACTAAAACTATGACAATTCTTATGTTTACGATGGAGGAATTGCCAAAGTGACTTTTATGATTATTTGTCGTATAGATACGTCGTCAGTTCGCATCACGTAGGCCTTTGTAATGCGAACTTTGATGTAGAATGAGGCAAGAGAAACGATCGTTACAACAATAATGATTTTTTAAGAAGCTAGACAGTTTTTACTTCTGTTTGTGTATACGATTAGGTCTGGCCAAGCATTTCATCTGCACACATTATCCCGATAAGAAGTAAACGATAACAGAACGTTGCTACCAATCAAGTCCACGTGTAACACCAACTCAGTTAAAACAATAAAATTATAAAACCTAACAGTAAAATGTATAACAAAAAACATGGAGCCGAAAAATTAAGATTTAATTATAATGAACATGAAACGACCAATTAATATGATACATGGTACGTTAGATCTGATAACAGTAAGGTGAATCTCAATGAGTAACGCATCCGTTTTCTAGAACATTATAAAATTGTAAAGATAATGAAGGAAAACATATATGTTTCGGTGAGAGCCGTCACAGTCGAGCGGTCGCATTAAAATGCTTATGAATTTTTATGTTTTGAAAGTACGGGAATGAGGCTTGTCACCCTACGGAACCAAGTGGCCGCCAGCTACATGATTATTGTTCAATTAAACTTTATAATTGTTATAGTTCTACTTGCCTTGTTCTATACGAGATGATTACTTCATTACTGTACCTTTACGAACCCAGTTATGAAATGAACGGAAACATTCTTCTTTGTAACAATAAAAACCTTTTGAGACAAAACGTAAAATGTTGATTTAATTAAACGTAATGTCGATCGCTTATGACTTACCCCACGCTGTAACCCTGCGGCGGCCGCCAAGAAAAATTAACGCATACTCGCGAGGGGTCGGTCAGACCCCGCATTATACGGGGAGCGGTCACTAATTAATGGAAAAGGATTAAATTCGTACCGAATTGAAATAAAATAAATATGATAAAGGACGCCCTTCTTGCCTCGGTCGAAGGGCTTCGGGCTTTTGTTTTTTTTTTTTCGGAACCCAGTCGCTGAAGGATTAGACCGTTGGTAGGACGCAGACAATTGTTTGT